ACACACTCTCAATATGCGTAGATTTTAGGGAGCGGTGCTCCTAATGGAACTCGGAAGAGATAATCCGGCTCCTCTCCACAGTTTGAGAGCACCTGCCAAAATTTCATCGTCTGTGAAGCCGCCAAATATCTTACTACTTAGCATAGAGGAGGGCCTGTCTTGAAGTGAAGCGCAGTAGGGAGGGACTAGAAGTTTGTGCTTGAATCCTCACTACTTTAGTAAGCGAATAGACCGACTGCAGGATGCAAGTCATATACCTCACTACATGAAGAGCCAAAGCTCGCAAAGTGTTGAATGGAAATCAAAGTAACACTGCGCAATTCTGATATCACGGCAAATCACACGCGGTGCGCTTGGTTCTGCTGTGCAACTGCGAATTTCCAGTAAAGAGAGTTTTCATCCTTTGTATGCCATCAATAAGCCGCGAAAAGCTCCCACTCTGTGCTCCGTAGTGCAGGCAGCTTAGACAGAGAAGAGAAAAACAGCCATTGTACAGCGTCTTCTGGTCTTCTCGTCAACCAGGTATGTGTTTACGCGGGCGACACCGAATAATGGAAGCCGACCGCACCTGTCTACACAACTTTATATTCAAATAATGATTGAAAAGTCAAGAGGCGTAGTAATCCCCCATGCAAGAATCAAACAGGTAGCTGCCGATGTTGCACATTTCAGCATAATGGGAAATAAGCAAAAAGAGAGCCTATTCTGGAATGCGTACTAGGTCAGGAAATTCCTCCACTATCCCCCAGGCGGTTATTCTATGAGTCCTTTTTGGCTCCAGCAATCTCACAATAAGTTGCATCCACAGAGGTGGTACATTCTCAGCCTCTAGCTCGGGTAAGATTTCGGCGGACCTTCTGTCGTTCTCAATAAGCCATTTCGCGAGCATAGCTTCTTGATCATCCCCGTCTTTCGCTTCGAATCTTCCATATGGATACTGCCGATCTGTAAACAGCTCGTACAAGAGTATCCCAAGGGACCACAAGTCGCTGCTCGCTTGCGGGATTATGAGCGTCTCCTTATACCCTGAGAAAACTTCGGTAAGAGCTAGATGTGGCTCACGATATCCTGGCGTAAACAGTGTCAGGGGTCTATACGGTTTTCCAAACGGGAGGATGGAACCCAGATCGGCGATAACGAATGATCCGTCCGAGCGCAGCAACATGTTGCTCCACTTCAGGTCGTTGTGGCTGAGGCCTGCCTGCTGCAGTTTAAGAACAATTTGCAGCAACCGGCGAGCCATGTACTCCCGCGCCCCATATACAACGTCTGGTGCATCTCGGATAATGCGCCTAACGGCACCGTAAAGCCTCTCCATTAGCTGTACGCGTCCCAAGATAAAATATCCTCCAACGTGCACGCCTTCAGGAGCTCCAGCAATGTCGGCAGTGAACAAGGGAACTGAGATGCCCTTCTTCGCGGCAACCATACTTGCTGGAATGACGCCGCATAGCTGCCGTGCTCCCTCCTCCTGCAAGGTAAGCTCCCGCCGAACCTCGGCAAGAGAAGCCCCACTTGCATCATCCCATACTAGTTTTTCAGGTACCCGGATTATGCGCATCGCAAACAACTCATGGGTATCCGTATCCTCCGCCTCCACCACTATGGCTGAACCGCCTTTCCCCAGCAACTTATTTATGCGAACAATACGGCTCAGAGGGCTGCCTTTCTCCATCCAGTGCAATGGCTCCACATTGTTCAAAACCATGGTCATGCCAATCAACGTATCCGACGAACCATTCGACAGCGTTCTAGCAACCAGTTGAACTTCGTGAGATTCTTCATCAACTGTTTGCTCGGCGGTTTGGCTGTTTGCAAGGAAGGCTGCAATTTCATCTTTCCCTCGCTTCACCACTGGAGGGAGTGTCTTCTCAAAGTGGTCAA